GAAGTGAAGAATGTTCATTGTGCAAGAGTTGAGGTGGAAAAGGAGTTCTGTCATTAGAAAAAAATGTGTTGGAGCCTGAGAGCTTTGTTGTTTTATCACAAACATTTAAGTCAGATGTTTCCCCTCTTTTCATCAGCGAATCCAAGTGTGCATACTGATTATCCTGTATTTGCAAGTCAGAGTTGTAAATTGCTGTATTCAGCTGGGGCCGTTTACCATCTGAAAGAAATAATTAAATCTTTCTTTCTCTTGCTTAAGATTTAAACATGTATTTAAAGATGAGATCATGCTTTCATGGTGGTCAGAGTTTCTTTCTATATTTGTGTTGGGTGGCCTCAGAAATGGGTGTCCAAGGGTCTGGTGGCTGGGCTGTGTTTCCTTTAATTATATATTTGTTTGGGGAAGGATGGCTATTCCAGCCTCTGTCTTTGCCTGGTTCCATCCTCCCAGCCCCAGTGCAGCGGGAGCTGTGCCCATCCCACTGTGCAGATCAGCCATATGTGCCTCTTATTTATAGCTCATGCGTGAAGGGAGCCATTCCAAAGTGGTAATTTCTGTTCTGGTGGTGGCACATAAATACAAGTGTGTGTGAGCAGCTCCTTCTCCCTGAACGAGGATGTGACACATCCCAGTCACCCTGCTCAGGAACGCTCCAGTCCAGACAGACTGGGAGGCTCTGTCTGATGCTTCAGACACTCAAGAGCTCAATTAATTTATAGATGATAATTTGTTTTCAGCTCCTGCAGATATAGATGCCACCTTTACTCAGCCTCTCTTGAGTCATTCTCTCTCCAGCTGCATTGGAGAGGGACTATTTACAAGGACATGGAGGGACAGGACAAGGGGGAACAGCTTCAAAGTGACAAAGAGTAGGTTTAGATTGGATCAAATTCTCCCCTCTGAGGGTGGGGAGGCCCTGGCACGGAGAAGCTGTGGCTACCCCATCCCTGGAAGTCCAAGGCCAGGTTGGACCGGGCTTGGAGCAGCCTGGGACAGTGGAAGGTGGGACTGGATGGGCTATAAGGTCCTTCCCTACCCCAGAAAGTCTGTATGGATTCTATGGAGCTCCATTTCTGTAATTTGTTGGGGAAATGGCATATCCTACCTGCACTCTAAATGCAGCTGTGCAATATTTTCTAACTGTGCTGTACAGTTTGGGCCACCTTAAAACAAGTTTCCTTCCAGCTGCCTTTGTTTTCTGTGTGCATAATTTCATAAAGTCACTGGGCACAAGGAATGAAAGACTGGCTTTAGAAAGAAAACAAGAACACGAGTTGTGGGAGGGAGCCCAGAGCAGTTTGGGATGGAAGGACCTTAAAGCTCATCTTGATCCAGCCCCTGCCCTGGGCAGGGACACCTTCCAAAGGTCAGGTTGCTCCAAGCCCTGTCCAACCTGGCCTTGGACATTTCCAGGGATGGGGAGTCAGAGGCTCTCGGGGCAGATGATACAATAGGTGTCATCAACACCAGTGTTGCACTCTGAAGTTATTGCCTCCTTCCCAAGTTATCTTATCTGGCCGTTATTAGCGCTGCGGATGCGCCGGCTGTGGCTGGTGTCCGTGTGAGCGGCTGGCCGTGCCCCGCTGGGGTTTCTCGGGAGCAGGCGGTGATTCAGCAGGGAAGCATGCCAGGCCGGCACGGACAGCTGAACCGGCCGTGCTCCCGCACACGTACAGCCAGACGGCGACAGCCCGGGCACGGCGGGGACACAGTGGGGCTGGCTGCTCTTAACCAATCCCACCTATAAAACGCTCTGTAAACAAACACGAGCTGCCTCCAGTGCCTTGTTACAGCGCGGCTTGGGTTGGGAAGGGACCTTAAAACCGGTCTCATTCCACTCCCTGCCGTGGGCAGAGACACCTCCCGTAGCCCAGGTTGCTCCAAGCCGCCTCCAAGCTGGCCTTGAGCACTTTCCGGGCTGGGACAGGCAGAGCCTCTCCGGGAAACCAGTTCCACTCCACGCTCGCTTTTCCGGAGTGTGTCACCGGCAGGAGCACAGCCCCGATCGGGGCAGCGCCGTGCCAGGGGCTGCGTGTGGGTGCACCGAGTGAGTCAGGGTGACTTTGTTCTGGGACGGGCTCCCTGGTTGTCTCTTACTCATTAATTAGCGCGGCTGGAGAGGAGAGCTCGGCGGCGCGGGGAGGCTCAGGGAGCCGTGCTCGCCTTCCGTGAGGACGGAGTGTTCCTCGGTGCTGCGTGACTGGAGCGCCCGGGCTGACACGGCCCGTCCCCGGCTCGCGTGCGAGCCCCACGCACGCAGCGCCGTGCTCGGGGACATCGCTCCCTCCCCGCCGGCCCGAAACGAAACGCTCGGTGCGTGATAAACGAAACGCGAAGGGGCCTCTCCGTCCTATCGCTCTCGGGAACGGCCTCGGGCGGCGCTTTCGGTTCAGGCCGCTGACACCGGCGCGGGGCGTGCTGCAGCCTGGCCGGCGCCGCGAGGGGACCGGCCCCGGGGCGGGGAACCGGCCCTGCCCGCCCGCGCTCCGCCCCGGCCGCGCTGCCCTCGCGGCTGCCTTGGCAGCGCTATTTAAACGGGCGGCAGAGCGAGCCGGGGGAGCCGGGCGAGGCAGGGCGGGATGCGCGGCCACACGCGGCCCTCGGTGCGGACACGGCGGTGCTGACCCCGCACCGGCCGCGGGCACGGTGTCCGGCACCGCCCGCCGCGTTTATTGCAGCTCCCCCCCCCACTTGAAAAGTGATTTCGCTCTGGAGTTACCGTGGATTTGGGTCAGAAGGCGGGAGCAGCGCCGAGGGAGCCCGCGCCGGTAGGTCCCAGCTGCGGGCTGGCTGCCCGGCAGCTCGGCCGCGCTCAGGGTCTGTGTCTGGGCTCCGCGTCCTTTGTTGGTTGTTGCAGCGTGTGCGACCGGCGGAGCGGCTTTCAGCGCACAGGAGGCGCGGCTCGCGTGCCATGGCGAGCGCTCGGGGAGCGACCCCGGCGAGAGAGCGGCGGCTGCGGGAGCATCGCTGCGGGAGCGCTCCCGCTGCTGCTGCTGCTGCTGCTGCTGCTGCTGCGGCAGGGCTGAGCCTCGTCCTTCCTGCCGCTTTATTTTTAGAGCCGTTGGGGGATCCGGCTCTGCTCACTGAGGCGCTGCTGTAAAAATAGCAGCCAAACTTAAATGCTGGTCGAGCGAGGAATATGAATGTTGAAATGGCAGCGAAGGTATGGCTGAAGGAGATCAGAAGTCACTTGCTCAGCACCTTGGCGCTGCAGGGATCCTTGAGCCCTGGCGGATCCTCTCGCTCCTCGCCAGGGCAGGGAGACCTGGGCTGCAACTGCGGGAACGTCTCATTCTCTCCGGAGTCGAGGATTTTTAAACCTTTGGAGTTACCTGAAGGTGCCTGTGGTGGTTTGGAGGAATTGCCTGGTGTCTGTGGAAGAATAACAGATACGCCGATTACCTTGGGGTTAACTGCCAAACAGATGTACCAGTTGCTTTAAATTTAATCTAAAAATGGGAAAACTGACGAGGCACAACTTTTTTTTTTCTTTTCCTTGCAATTGTGACGTGCTGTTTCCCAGGGAAATGGAAAAGCCTTATAAATGAATGTTCCAAAATACAGAAGGCTCAATGAGAAATTTTCCAGGGGAAATCATCAGTAGTAAGAGATTATTTCCAAATTTTCTCTGGTGTTTTGGATTTTGTTTTGAAGCGAGGAGTAACTTTGCTCGGAATGCATTTATCCAGGAAGTAATGCTTAATGTGCTCCACTCTGAGCATTGAGCCTGCATGCGAGATTGAAGAAGGTTTAATTAGATATAATCAAATATTACAGGATTCCTGATTAAAAGGCATAGCACTTGCTTTTGGTGACGTGCGAGACACACTGCTTATTTGTGCTTTAAAATAATACAATTCTGCAGCTTGCAAGCGATGCCTTTCTCGGTTCCTGAGTAACCATCACCCTCCTGTTTGCTTCCCTGCCCAGTTTTAATTCCTGGTGCCCAGCGTGGCGAGAGGAGCCGGTGTGGCACGCCGGGTGCCACAGGGCGGGGACAGGGACCGGGACAGGGCCGGGCTGGGAGCGATCCCGGGCTGGGAGCTGAGCGATCCCGGGAGCCCCGGCAGGGCCGGGCTGGGAGCTCAGCGATCCCGGGCTGGGAGCTCTGCTATCCCGGGAGCCCCGGCAGGGCCGGGCTGGGAGCTCAGCGATGCCGGGAGCCCCGGCAGGGCCGGGCTGGGGGCGATGCCGGGAGCCCCGGCAGGGCCGGGCTGGGGGCGATGCCGGGAGCCCCGGCAGGGCCGGGCTGGGGACTCAGCGATCCCGGGAGCCCCGGCAGGGCCGGGCTGGGGGCGATCCCGGGAGCCCCGGCAGGGCCGGGCTGGGAGCGATCCCGGGCTGGGTACTCAGCGATCCCGGGAGCCCCGGCAGGGCCGGGCTGGGCACTCTGCGATCCCGGGAGCCCCGGCAGGGCCGCACGGCGCAGTCCGTGGGAAGTTGGCCGTGGCTCTCCGCAGGCAGCGGTTCGGTTCCGCCGGGCCGTGGGAGGTGACACGAGGGAGGACACATGCCAGTGGAACGGGAACGTGTAGGTTTGCTCCTCCGGTGGGAGAGGAAACGGTGCAGGAATGTCTGAAATGCGGGCGGGGGACGTGTCTCATGCTGCTCAGGTCTGTGTGTGAGGGAGGCACAGGAATCAGCGCTGTCGTGTTCTCTTTTGTGGGATAGAACGAAGCCAAGCGCTCCCGTTTGTGGAACATCCTGACAGGGAGGAGGCGTCGGACCATCCCCCTTTCCTGCCCACCCTCGGGGGACTGCGTGTGCGTGCCGGAGTGTCTCAGAGCCTGCATGTGCCGGGAGAGGAGGAGTGTGGGTTTGGGATTAATTAGCCTGACTTTAGCTGTTTTCATGCTTTACGTGCCTAAGGGCTACCCGCAGTCACAGCGAGGGGAGGAGTTTGCTGTTGCTGGCTCAAAATCCTCTCCAGGGGTGATCTTGTTCGTGTCAACCATGAGCAATTAGAGAGATTAACTGTCTTGTTTTCCTTTCTGCCCTAGGTTGGTTCCTGGGAGGCTCTGGGACGTTTGAAAGTGATTTGGAGAGAGCAAAGTCTGTGTCCGATGGACACCGAGCCGCAGCCGGCGTGCGTGGTGCCCCAGGTTCCCTGCCCAGCCATGAAGTGCTCTCCTTCAGAGGACTTTTCTCCCCAGGTGAGGCTGGCTGATAAGATCCCCCCGGTGAAGCCTTGCTTCAAGAAGAAGCAGCAAGTGCAGAAGAGACTGGACACACAAACTCTGCGGGCTCTGCGGCCCATCTTCACCAGCCTGCTGGGAGCTGGGGCCTTGGACAGGGTCTTTGTGCCCCGAGGCCAGCGTGGGGGCCATGGTGATTTATGTGAACCTGCTGTGAAAAAGACTCTGGACCTCGGTACCTCTTGCCCTCAGACAGAAAATAATGTGACTGTGCTGATGCCAGCAGCTCCAGATGTGCAGGGTCAGCTGCCAGGAGCTCGTCCTTCCCCTGGGCATCCTGAGCAGGACGTGCAGTCAGGAGAGCAAGGCTTCTCCCCAGAAACTCCTGGAACTGCTGCTGATAATGGTAATGAATCATTCCAGGATCATCCTTTGCACCCAAGTGCTGCTGATGGTGCAGCTTGTCCTTTGTTCCCTGACAAGGTTCTGGAAAGCTACACATCTGGCTTACTCCAGGAGAACAGCTGTCCAGTGCAATACAACTTGACCCCGAGCAATAAATTCAGTGCTGGGATATTCCAGGACAAAAGTGAAGAAGCTTCCCTTGACCTGGTGTTTGAGCTCTTGAACCAGCTGCAGTATCACACCCACCAGGAGGACGGGATTGAAATCTGTGTGGATTTTCTCCAGGGCACTTGTGTTTATGGCAGTGATTGTCCCAAGCATCACACGGTGCTACCCTATCACTGGCAGGTGAGGAGGACAGCAACCCAGAGGTGGCAAAGTGTGACCAACGATTCCCAGGAGCACCTGGAGAGGCTTTACTGCAACCCTGACAACGACAAGATCAAAGTCAAGTATCGGTAGGTAACTGAATCTACTCCCTTGCTGGGAAGGGTGCAGAAATATAACAGGATGTGCCTTTTTTTTCCTGATACTTGTATCCAAGCGTGTTATAAACACTGGCATGATGTTTCTTGATTTATATCCAACAAGTTTAACTGGGCAAAAAATTTTGTACACTTGTAAAACTGTAATTTAGCATCTGGAATGTGTTCTTTGAAGCTGGAGGACTTGGAGTGTGTGAAATAAGAAAACTTCAGCTCAGTAGGAATTCAGAGACTGTTGTGGAATGCTGTGCTTGTTCTTGGCGTTCCTAATTAGTGTTTCCTCTGTGTTGGACAAAGTGGCAGCATGAAAGCCTTGGCAGCGCTGGGGACAGGGATGACAGAGCAGTTGCTGTGTGTCACTGTGAGTACAGCCTGCATCCTTCCCTCCCCAGCAGCTAAGGCAGAGGGGAGCTCTGCAGGGCCCTTGGGAAGGGGCACATCACTGTCAGTAAATGGGGATGTTCCAGCTCGTTCCCTGTGAGCAGCCTGAGCCACACGGTCAGAAATGCTGATCATCTCCACTGTTAAAGCAGTTATTGAAGTTATTGTTTTCCCTGTACAGCTTGTTTATTGACTCATTTTCTAAAATTAGCCAGCAGCTGTTAGGTTGATGTGGTTGTGTGACCTGTGTGGGCTCCTGCACCCCGAGAGCTCATTCTTCAGCTCCTCCCCTGCAGGCTCCAGTTCGAGGAGCAGTGGGGAACAGTGATGTTTGCAGGGTCCAGTTAGTGCAGGGTGCAGACTGGTCTGGTTTGTTTTTTTGTTTGTTTTGGGAGGAAGTGTGTGGTGCACGTTGTGGCAGGGCAGATAAGAGAGGAGAAGTTTGCCAGGCTGGCACAACTCCAGTTCAAAGTGACATTTCTGGAGTGAAAACTTCACTCTGCCTTTGCCACCTGAGCCCGTGGGGGTTCTGCTCACTGCCTCTTCCTTTCAGTTCCTGAAGCATATCCCTACTTTCTCAATATTTTATTTTCATTTATTCAGCTGAGATTTCTCATTTGGCGCCAGACCAAATCTAGTGCTTAAAGTCAGCGTGAGTCTTTACTTTCACTTAATTTGATGTTGGATTAGACACTGAATTCAGCCTTTGTCATAGACTGGTTTGGGTTGGGAGGGACCTTAAAGATCACACAATGCCAACCCTTCCATGGGCACCTTCCACTGTCCCAGGTGCTCCCAGTGTCCAGCCCGGCCTTGGGCACTGCCAGGGATGCAGGGGCAGCCACAGCTTCTCCAGGCATCCTGTGCCAGGGCCTTTTTAGTGATGGCAATATCAGAATATGGATGCCCCACACTGAAATGAAAATGAAGTAGGGTATGTAGTAGGGAACAACTACATTTTATAGAATTGTCTTGAAGAAATATGCCAGTCTTTAATAAAAATAAAATCTAAAATAAAAATCTTCTAAGTGCATAGCAGATAAAATGTACTGTATTTTACAACAGAGGAACTTTTATTTCTCAAGTGTTAGAAATGATTTCTGAAAACAAAACAGCACAGCCAGAAACGAGCCCATTAAATGATTTAACTTTGAATTCAGTGTCAATGAGCAAATGGTTTTCTTTTAGAAGTTGTGTCACCGAATCCATCAATGCACATGAGCTCTGTGTCCTAAAGGATGGACTTGGGAATGATTGATGGGAAAGGACACAGTGCTTGGTCATGGCTTAGTCACCCCCGGGCTGGGAGGCTGCTGTGCAGTGACATCTCCCTGCCCTGGCTGTGCAGGTCCCAGCCTGCTGGGGCTGCTGGCACATGGGTTTCTGCCTGTCTGATCCAGCTGGGGACAGGTGTGTGCCAGGGACAGGACGTTCCCTGAGCGTGAGGGAAGGGACAGGAGCAGCCTGGGCTGGGCACAGCCCCGTGGGACCCAGCCCTCAGAGCCTGGCATACAGACCTGGCCTTGCTGGGCTGAGTGGGTCCTGCCAAACTGCGGATTCACACTGGCTGTTGGGGAGAAATTCCTCACTGCAGGGTGGGCAGGGTCTGTGACTGTCCCTGGATCCCTGGAAGTGTCCCAGGCCAGGCTGGAGCAGCCTGGGACAGTGGAAGGTGTCCCTGCCATGGCAGGGGTGGGATCAGCTGATGTTTAACATCCCTTCCAACCTTGGAAGAGCCACATGGCTGGATATGTGTCAGTGAGACCTTTGGAGGGAAGCTCTATTTAGGACCAGAGCTTCTGATTTCAAGCTTTGAGTCTAATCCTCCTTGGATCTTTGGCTTGCCAAGGTTTTAAGCCAGGTTTTGAGGTGGGAGGTCAATGTTTTAGTGTGCATCATCGGCAGCTGCTTCTTATGCAACATCACCTTGTGAGGAACACCTGGCAAGGTGTGGGGAGCCCCAGGTCCCTGGTGGTCACTCAGGCTGGTGGCAGTGTCCCTGTGCCCTGTGCCCAGTGTCCCTGTGCCGTGTCCCTGTGCCCAGTGTCCCCAGCTGTGTCCCTGTGCCCAGTGTCCCCAGCTGTGTGCCCTGGCAGTGGCAGCCCGGAGCTGTGCCCGTGCCCCGCCAGCGCCGCGTCCCATGGTTACAGCGTTATTTGTTAAAGCCATTAATCTGCCGTGGTCAGACGAGCTTTGCAGGCCTGTCTGCTCCCTGGCAGCCAGAGGAAACGCCTGCTCAGCACTCTGCCTGCCCAGCCAGGCTGCTGTTTGTGCTGCTCCGTGTCCCACAGCTCTGGGGTGTGGTGGCTGCAATGATCCTGGCTGCCCCCAGGGCGCTGGGCCCTTCCACAAAGTGTTGGCCATCAGCTCAATTAGGGAATGAGCTCTAAATCAGGGTGTTCTTCAAGGAGCTATTTATATAAACCTTCCTTCCTCTTAATTATTGGGATGAGTAATGATGGAGATAAGTTATTGAGATGAGTAATGTAAAATACACATTAAGTTGTTGCCTCTCACCTAAGGGAATGTGATCTCAGAGGAGTGGTAAACCTTGTTTAGTTACTTTGTAATGCAACTCCTTCAGCTGCTTCTTGCAGTTTGGCCTCAAACTACAATCATAAATTACTTATGTGTTTTTTTTGTATTCTTGAGTCTGCCAAGTATGTCGAGCCACATACCAAGCTATCTAAACAAATGGGGGAACATCAGCTTAAGCAGGTTAAAGTATTTAGGAGCACTCAGTTTTCTTCATGGATGTGAGGAGAGGCCCTGGGAGAAGTTCCAGCTTTCAGCAAAGAGAGAGCAGTGCCAAGTGCTGCTTTCCAGCAGGAGATGCCCACGTTGGGATATTTTAAGATGCTCTTTGCTAAGGTGAAATATTTGGCTGAGGAGCTGAGCAGGTTTCCCCACGCTCACACACCTGTCCCATCATGCACACATTGCTTTTCAAAACAAGCAGCAGCATTAGAGATTACAACAGGATTTGTTTAAAACAACTCTGCAGTTCCTGACCCATCAGTTCCCCCTGCTTTGGCTGAAAATTCCACTTTTCCTCTTGGCAAAAAGGGCTCCCCACTCGCCTGACACAGCAGCTTCTTGCTGTTGCTTTGATTTCTTTCCTTTTCCCATTTTCCTTTGAATTTCTGTAAGTTTATGGGATTCCTTTGAATTTCTGTGAGTTTATGGGATGGCTCCTTGTAGCTGGGAGAGGGGCCAGAGTGGAGTGGCTGCAGTGAGGAAAAGCAGGTGGCTCCCAGTGGGACGTGTCCTGCTGGGAGCTGTTCTCCCTGTGCTCACCCCTGGCCCTTGGGTGAAGTCAGGAAATGACAGCACAGGAGGAAACTCGAGCTGTCCTGGGAAGGTTCAGCTCGGGTATCAGCAGGAATTTCTCCTGGATAGGGTGGCCAGGCACAGGAAGGGTCTGTCCAGGGAGGTTTGGAGTGCCCATCCCTGGAGGTGTCCCAGGAATGATGAATGTGGCACTCGGTGCTCTGGGCTGGGCTGGACTCAGTGTTCTTGGAGGGCTTTTCCAACCTCAGTGATTCCATGACTCTGTAAATACAGAGTGTTCCACTGCAGTTATCAGGGGCATGTGAAGGGACTGGGAAGGAGAGGCATGGACACAACAAAATGTACAGGAAACTGGTTTTCCTTCATTCCTCTGTGTGTGGGATGGCTGCTCCTCTGGTGCTGACAGAATGTGCCTGACGTGTTAAAATCATACAGAGCACGGTGGAGGCATTTCAGGATGGAATCATGGAATCACAGTGTGCTTTGGCTTGGAAAAGACCTTAAAGCCCAGCCAGTGCCACCCCTGTCCTGGCAGGGACACCTTCCACCATCCCAGGCTGCTCCCAGCCCTGTCCAGCCTGGCCTGGGACACTGCCAGGGATGGGGCAGAGCCGCAGCCTCTGGGGCAGCAGCTGTGTGGGGAGTTCTGCAGGTCCTTGGCCCATCAAACAGTTAAATTTCAGGAGTTTTCCGTGTGATCCCCACAGTGCCACAGCGTGTGAGATAAGGCGTGTGTTAGTGATAACAGGGAGATGGGAAAGCAGCTGAGAGTCCCTGTGTCTGAGTTTGGGGGAGGTTCTTGGCTATACCCTCTGAGTGGCTGGGAGCTGCTTTTCATTCCTTTCCAGCAGGAATGCAAGGCACAGAGCCTCGAATGAAACTCCTGAAGTGCTTTTGGAAGTGTTTGCCTTGTGCTGTGTGGGTTCCTTTTTGCTGCACTTGGCAGCACCATTTCCATATGAAATGGAACTAATTGGCTCGGAGCTGTACAAAGGCAGGGAGGCCCTGAGCCCGAGGAGCCGGCAATCGCTGCCATCCCCGCTCTTGTTTCCTGTCAACAAACAGATTGCACTTTGGGGAACAGCTGTCACCTGGCTGAGGTCAGCCTGTCCTGGCCATAAAGCAGCCCCTCCTGACACGGAGATCAGGGCTTGCTCTCAGGAGCTGCTCCCAGCTAGGGCAGCAGGCTGGGTGCTGTGACAGGAGTGCCCTGCCAGCACCCAGGGACACAAAAGGGCTGTGACAGTGCTGTGCTCAGCAGGAGCAGTGATCGGGAGGCTCCTTCCTGCTGGGTGCTCTGAGTTGTTGAATCAGAAGGATGAGTAATAATTGGGAATCTGATTCCTGTAGTCATGTGTACACAGGAGTGGTTTCTTTGGGGAAGTTGGTTTTGGAAGGTGTGATGGGGAGCATTCATTTTTAGGAAAAGCCTGGAATGACAGGACAGAGGGGATGAATTTCCACTGTCAGAAGGCAGAGGTAGGTGGGATGTTGGACAGGAATTCCTCCCTGGCAGGGTGGGCAGGCCCTGGGTCCCTGGCAGTGCCCAGAGCCAGCTTGGAGCAGCCCTGGACAGTGGGAGGTGTCCCTGCCTGTGGCACTGGGTGAGCTTTAGGCTCCGTGCCTGTACCAGCCCTGCAGCACTCAGAGCTGTGCTTGTGCTCCTCTGAAACACCAACAGTTTAGGTTGGAAAGGACCCTGAAAGGTCATGGAGTCCCACCCCTGCCAGGAGCATCTTCCACCGATTTAGCAATGAAACAAACAAAGCAACCCCTCCCAAACAGACCCACATCCCAAACAGACCCACATCCCAAGCACATCCACATCCCAAGCACATCCACATCCCAAGCACATCCACATCCCAAACTCATCCACATCCCAAGCACATCCACATCCCAAACTCATCCACATCCCAAGCACATCCACATCCCAAACTCATCCACATCCCAAGCACATCCACATCCCAAACAGACCCACATCCCAAACAGATCCACATCCCAAACAGATCCACATCCCAAACTCATCCACATCCCAAACAGATCCACATCCCAAACTCATCCACATCCCAAACAGACCCACATCCCAAACAGACCCACATCCCAAACAGACCCACATCCCAAGCACATCCACATCCCAAACTCATCCACATCCCAAGCACATCCACATCCCAAACTCATCCACATCCCAAACAGACCCACATCCCAAACAGACCCACATCCCAAACAGATCCACATCCCAAACAGATCCACATCCCAAGCACATCCACATCCCAAACTCATCCACATCCCAAACAGATCCACATCCCGAGCAGCTCAGAGCCCCTGGAGCCCAGCAAGCACAGGACCCTCTGTTTGTGCTGCCCTGCAAACAGCTGGGGTTGGAATTAGGAAATAGGGTGCCTGTGCAATCCTTGGGAGAGGGGGACGTGTTCAACATCCTCATTGCTGTGGAGTTTGAGAGCTTACCCATGCCTACACCCCAGCCCCCCTGTCCTAGGACCTCATGTTCAGGAGTGGCCAGGAGTGGGTTCCTGGGAAGAACAAACAACTTCTGGTACAGCCTCTTCTCCTCCAGCAGCCCTGCCTCAAGGACTTCCTGATCCAGAGTGGGGGGAACATTATATTTTTTTTTTTTTTTTCCCCTGCCAGGCATTCATCCAAGCTGTACATGTACACCTACATATGCAGGCCAGTGTGTCAGCAGTTGTTTCAGGTTCACAAGCTGCCCCCCTGGCTGTGAAAATTCCAGAAGATTGCTTTTGCAAGCACCCCAGTCACCAACTGTAAAGGCAGGGGAAAACAGTGTTTCCAGCCTTGAAAAAATAAACACAGGAAAAGCAGAAAAGTCACTGCTTTTGGGTTCTTTTGTCCCCTGAGGACAGAGCCTTTGAGCTGAGAGGGAAATGTGTCTGCAGCATCTTTCCCCAGTGTGAGGTGTCACCTCCCACGTGGCCCAGGGTCACCACAGAGAGCAGCATGACTTGATGAGAGGGCAGATGCAGTAAAATCTGAAACTCACGTGCTGCCCTGGCCCTGGTGCCCCTCTCTGGGGTTTGAACTGAGAGGCCCTGATAAGATCAGGCTCAGAGGGGTTGTTTGTGCTCTTGGCCTGCTGCAGACGTTCCTGTGTGCCTGGCACAGCCCAGTCCTGGTTCCTGCTGTGCTCCCACTGCTGTGTTGGGAAGAGCTGCTGCTGAACATCCATCCCTTGGGAGCGTTCCTGGCCTTTCCTCCTGCTGTGCCTTTCCATGGCAGCACATTGGCTCTGCTGTCTGAGCTCTGCTGTTGCTATTTCAGTACCTGTGCTTCCAAACTAAACCCTTGGTTGGGTGCCCAGCCCTGGCACAGGCTGCCTGGTGGAGCCCCATCCCTAGAGGGCTTTGACAGCCCTGGGGAGGTGGCACTTGGGGACATGGTCAGTGGTGGCCTTGGCACTGCTGGGGGAATGGTTGGACTCATTGGTCTGCGGGAGCTTTTCCAATTTTACCAAATCTGTGATTTCCATGATCTTTTGATACCAATATCCTTTAAGTGATGTTTGGTTTCATACAGGAGTTTGAACACTCAGCCCCCCCACCCAAAGCTGGGCCCATCTGTGGGAGGGCCCTTCCCCTGCAGCTTCCATCAAGTGCACCAAGGAGATAAGATCTGCTGCCGTGGTGTCAGCAGCAGTGTCAGAGCCTGTGCAGTGGCTGAGCTCAGCGTGGCTCCCCCAGCCCTGAGCACAAACGTTTCTCGTGCCTCCTCGGGGGCCCTTTGCAGCCCCTGGCTCCGGGGGCCGCCGGGCTGTTGCTGGTGCAGGGAGGAACTGGTTGAGTCAGAGAGAGAAGCTCAGCAGTTTCAGCAGGCAGGGAGCTGGGCTGTGAGCCGTGCTGTGTCTCACAGCTGTTCTGCTGGGAGCAGCTCTCATTTCCTGCTGGGCCCTGCTGCTCGCAGTGTTTCTGTTTTTCTGAACCTGTTTGCGGTAACTGGCGCCACGTCCCCGAACTCGGAGAGGAGCTGCAAACCACACATCCTCCTCCCAGAGCACTCACAAACTGATTTCTGTGCTCATCTCTGTGTACGTGATGTCTGGAGAGTGTTTGTCCTGCTGGGGGGAAAGAGCCCGGGGGATTCACAGACTGGGCTGCAGTTCTGCAGAAGGATGGGAGGAAGAGCCCAAATATCCTTGTTGTGGCTGCACCAGTCTGAAAACATCTATCAGTACTGAAACTTGCCAGTCAAGGAACCTGCTCAGTCCAGTGTCCTGCAAAGTTTACACCTTCTGTTATTTCTTACATTTAGGGAACAGAGAAAATGAAACTTATTATTGGGGTCACATTCTGCTGTTGAGAGCTTGTGGGGTTTTATTTTGAATTGTGCTGTTCTGCAGCACCAAATTTGGGTTGTGTGCCCTGTTCTTCTGAAAGTTCAACGTGCTCATTCTCGCTGTGCAAACAGTTCCACTGAACTGCTTTATTTTATAAATAGAGACCTTTATTTGGTGAGTTGGTAAGGAGAAATTCTTCAGAAATCTGTTCTCACCTCTCCACCTCTCGAGTCTCTATGGGACCTTTAACAAGGGCACTTAGTGCCAAGACAAGGGGAAGGCTTTAAACTGCCTGAGGGCTGGGCTGGATGGGATATTGGGAATTGGGAATTGTTCCCTGGGAAGGTGGGCAGGCCCTGGCACAGCTGGGGCTGCCCCTGGATCCCTGGCAGTGCCCAAGGCCAGCTTGGACACAGGGGCTGGCAGCACCTGGGGCAGTGGGAGGTGTCCCAGGGCACTGGATGAGATTTAGGCTCCCTCCAACCCAAACCGTTCTGGGATTCTACACCTCAGACATCTGCTGGGTTTGAGGTTTTGTCCCTCTGTGCTGAAAACCACGTGTTTAATGGCATACAAAAGGTGAGAATTGTCTCTTTCTCCCATTTTCCCCAGGGGCCAGGAGTGCTGGGTGGATCTGAACCTTATGAAGTTTTATGAAAGCGCAGAGTTCGACCAAATGCGGCGCCTGTCCACAGCCTCCTGCCCCAGCTCCAGCTCCAACTGCTACACGGTGTGGAAGTACTTCTGCAGGGACCACTTTGGCTGGAGAGAGTACTCCGAGGTATGGCCCTCCCCAGCCCTGCTGCTGGGCTGCAGCACACTCTGATACATCCATGCTCAGCCTGGTTCCTCTGCAGCTGCTCAGGGAGCAGATTTGGGGATCCTGGGAGGACGAGGAGTCAGGGTTGAGCTGAGAAAGCAGTGAAGGGACAGCTCTGCTGGCCTGGGCTGTGGGTCTGTGATCCTGTGACTTGAATTACCCTGGAAGCATCAGAGACACCAGGGCTGGCCAGGCTGTCCCTCTGGGGGGCAAACCAGCTTGTGGCACTACCAAGGAAGCTCTTCTGGAGCCTGATTTGGTTTTATGGCAGTGGGACAGTTTCTGCAGCCTTCAGAACAGCACCTCCATTGACCTTGGCAGCTTTTAATTGATTTCCCTGTCCCCAGAGCTCTGCTGAGGCAGGACATGCACTGCCCGAGCTGTGGGGTGCAGCCCTTGGGCTGATGTTTGGAGTGAAACCTCATCAGTGCTGGCAGTCCCAGAAATAACTCCTGAGTGTAAGAGCTGCAGAGAGTTGAGCAGAAACACCACAAATAACACAGTGAGGGTGTTTGAGCTGCGAGGAGAGCTGGGTTTGTGCAGTGTAGAACAGGAATATGAATTTTGGAGCGTGTGGTTTCTCATGTGTACATTTTCCTTCCCCGTTTTCCCCTCCTTTCCCCCCTTTCTCCCCCATTTCTTCCTGTTTTTCCCTCCTTTTCTCCCCTGTTTTCCCCTGTTTTTTTCTGGTTTTCCCTCCGGTTTTCCCCTGTGTTTTTCCTGTTTTTCCCTGTGTTTTCCCCCCATTTTCCCCCCATTTTTCCCCCCTGTTTTTCCCCCATTTTCCCCCTGTTTTTCCCCCATTTTCCCCCCCATTTTCCCCCCGTTTTTCCCCTCTGTTTTCCCCCCGTTTGCCCCTGCAGCCCGTGGTGAGGCTGATTGAGGAGGCGAGCTGCCGCGGGCTGCGCGAGGTGCGCTTCATCACCTGGCACAACCAGTACATCCTCAACATCAAGGATGGCTTCCAGCAGAACTCCTGCTTCCGCAGGGAGATCAAGAGGAGGCCCCTGCTGCGCTCCTGCCTGCTGCTCATGCCCTTCCTGCAGTAGGTATCCCCAAAACTGAGCCATTCCCACTGCCCTTCCTGCAGTATCCCCAAATTGGGCCGTTCCCACTGCCCTTCCTGCAGTAGGTATCCCCAAAACTGAGTCATTCCCACTGCCCTTCCTGCAGTATCCCCAAAACTGAGCCATTCCCACTGCCCTTCCTGCAGTAGGTATCCCCAAAACTGAGCCATTCCCACTGCCCTTCCTGCAGTATCCCCAAATTGGGCCATTCCCACTGCCCTTCCTGCAGTATCCCCAAAACTGAGCCATTCCCACTGCCCTTCCTGCAGTATCCCCAAATTGGGCCATTCCCACTGCCCTTCCTGCAGTATCCCCAAAACTGAGCCATTCCCACTGCCCTTCCTGCAGTATCTCCAAAACGGGGCCATTCCCACTGCTCCACGTGGGGCTGGATGGGGGAGTTTAGTTCCAGGCTGTGACATGGAGCAGGCTCTGTTGAGTGGGAAATGGGAACGAGAACCCAAAATCTGGGTCATGCTGGCAGCTTTTTCCCCTTCTGCCACTTTCCAAAGGAACATTTATCTGAGGAACTCCTTGTTTAAATGTGTAATGTGCCTTGTGGATGTTGGAACATTGGCTTTGCCCAATTCCTGTCCATTTTCCAGCATCCTGGGCTGTGGGAGGTGTCCCTGCCATGGCAGGGGGTGGCTCTGGATGGGGTTGGAGGCCCTGCCAGCCCAAACCATCCCGTGCTGCTGCAGTGGCAGCACTGGGTGTGCTCACAGAGCCCTCACCCCTCTGGGGTTTGGTCACAGCCTCAGCACACGTGGGCTGAGAGGTGTTTTTAGATTGAGGGTTTTTTAGATTTAAGGTTTTACAGGAAGGAAACCCCAGGTTATCAGAGAGAAACTGGAGGATGCCAGTAAAACACCAGTGGACGTGCTGGTTTGAGCAGTCCTGCTTCTCATCCTAATGAAAAATGAGGATTTCAGGGCTCCTGTTTTACCACTGCTAAAATTATGCAATTCCCAACTAATTCCCAGCTAATTTTCTTGGACCTTGAGGGCTCCACACTCGTGAGGGATTGACCAGAACTGTCTGTGCCAGCTACCAAACCTAGAGGCTAAAATCTGAGATTCTCTTCTGTACCAAACTTCATTCTGATTTTATTTATCCAAAGACCTTTTAAAGCTCACTTAAATCATGGATTACTGGCAAGAACAAGAGTATTTTAAATATTTATGGGATCTATCCTTGGATCTATCCTTCAGGAGACAGTGTTGCCTCCGCTTCCCACATGATGCTACCTGAGATTTGTTCTTTCCCTCACCTCCCACCTGCTTAAATGTGTTCTAGAATTGGAAAAGAATCCTTGAGTAGGAATGAAAAATGTTGACTTTTTAATGGCTTCCCCTGTAGAATAAATAACATAAATATTTTACACCAGTCAGAAGAACTGAACAAAGTACAACAAGGGATTGCAGGATTTTTATTGGATTTGATTCTTCCTCATTAATCCACAATTTACTGGCAATCTCTGCTTGCTCTTCCAGTCCAGTGTGAGTGAGGCCCTACAGGAATATTTTTTTCCCCATTTGCCCATCAAAGAGGAACACCAAATTAAAAACAAATGCCCACTTTGGTATTGGATTGCTATTTTATTAGCAATTTGTAGAACAAGTTTCTGGGTTTCTGCTCAGCTGTTAATAACCAGTGAGAAGAACTTGGAGTTGAGTCAAATCCATGCAAATGAAGGGAATCCTGGCCTTGGCCTGGAGCAGGAGGGAACAGCCAGAGAACACTCAGAGAGTGTTTCTGCCCTGAAAAGTGGGAGGGCTGTCACAGCTTTCCATGTGTTGGTTTAAAAATAGACCTTTTTCCACTAAACTTCCCCTCCCAACGCTTTTCCTTGGGCTTGATTTGGTTTCTGGCCATCTGTGGGGTTTGGAGAGCAGCTCCACCCTGGGCTGGCAGCAGCCAGGCCCTCTCCTGCTGCCTGCCCCAGGGCACTGAAGGGTTGGCAGCTTTTCCCAGAGAAATGCTTTGGGAAAATCCTCCTTGGTGGACTTTGGAGCTGGCCCCATGTGTTCCTGCAGCTGCAGGAGCTGTGCTGGTGTGAGCCAGGGCCCTGCAGGTGCCACACGGTCCCAATGGTCCCCTTGGCACAGGGGGGAGAATCCAGGCAGTGAGGAGTTACTCAGCTGAGTAAGGGCTGCTCTCTCAGGTGGGAGCAGGGAACACGAACCACCAAGGGCACTTCTCTCAGTTCAGCAGCTGCCAGAGTGTGTGAGGATTGCACAGAGCTGCAGGGGTAGGAGCAGGGTCCTGCTGGTCTCCTTTGCTGGTTTTCCCAAGGGCTTTTTCCTGGCATCCATGGGGCATCTTGGCCACAGCTCCCTCCCTCAGCCCTGCCTGTTCTCCAGGCAGCATTCCCAGAGGAGGGGCAGGAAAATATCCAGCTGCAAATGCAAATCCACCTCTGGCTGTGTAAATGGCAGTGAGAATCTGCCTGTTTGGGAAGGGGCCTTAAATCCCATCCAGTGCCACCTCCTGCCACAGGCAGGCACTTCCCATTGTCCCAGGGTGCTCCAAACCCTGGCCAACGTGGCCTTGGACACTCCCATGGTTATCAGAGGCTTTTCAGCCCCGCTGGGGATGAACTGGGGGTGACTGGAGGCTGCTGAGGGTGTCTGAGCACAACCTTTGTCCTCCCCAGGACCCTGGGTGGCAGCTCTGCCGTGCCCTCGCCGTGCTCCGACCCCGCCGCCGCTCACGACCTGTCCCCAGCTGCTGTCACCTGTCCCAGCTTCTACCCCGAGACCTGGATTGGAATGGATCCAGCTCAGGACTTCATCCAAGTGCCTGTTCTGAAGGAAGACAAAAGCTACAGAACCATTTACAACCTGTTCCACAAGACTGTGCCAGAGACCAAATACAGGATTTTGAAAATCCTGCGAGTGCAGAACCAGTTCCTTTGGGAGAAGTATAAAAGGTAAGAGAATTGCAGTTCTTTAATAATGGATATTCCTAGAGGAGGAATTGTATAAGAGGGATTTGTATCTCCTCTCACAGCTGAGCTCTCCCAGAGGGTGATACCGTGGTGAGACCTGCAGCGCACGCTCACCTTCGTTCCCATTTTGCGTTCCAGGAAAAAGGAGTACATGTCCAAGAAGATGTCAGGGCTGGACAGGATCATGAACGAGCGGCACCTGTTCCACGGCACGTCCCAGGACGTGGTGGACGGGATCTGCAAGCACAACTTCGACCCGCGCGTGTGCGGCAAGCACGCCACCATGTTCGGCCAGGGCAGCTACTTTGCCAGGAAGGCCAGCTACTCCCACAACTTCTCCAAGCGCTCCCCCAAGGGCGTGCACTTCATGTTCCTGGCCAAGGTGCTCACGGGCAGGTACACGGTGGGCAACCACACCATGAGGAGGCCGCCGCCCGTGGAACCCGGCAGCATCACCAGCGACCTGTACGACTCCTGCGTGGACAATTACTTCGAGCCCCAGATCTTTGTCATCTTCAACGATGACCAGAGCTACCCCTACTTCATCATCCAGTATGAGGAGGTCAGCAGCACCGTGTCCATCTGACGGCCTGTGCTGCTCCCTGCCACAAACCTCTCGGTTTCTGTGGGAGAGGTAAAATCTGGACACTTCCTAACTGGTGGAATGACTTGGAAGGAAGGTCACTGAGGTGACCAACTGTGCACTTGCCGGTTGATTCCCTATGTGGAAATTGTACATATTTTTCCATTGTTTATAGTTGAAAATCTGTGCCTTTTGTTATAAAACACTGTTTATTTATGTTAGTAAATATTCATGTTTCAGAATGTGCCTGTGGTTGTCATTTCAGTGGCGTTCTGTGCCTGTCACACCCTGATCTCAGCATTTCAGTGTGGCTGTTTCCAGGGACTCAGAACCACATTTCATCCCAAGCATATTAAATAAGACATTCCCCAACCGCTACTTCTTATTATCATATATCAGAGACACTGGGGGAGAGATCACAAAACTACCCCCTCCTCATGCTTTGCATTATTGAACAGGACAACACAAATAGATCATTTTCTAAATGCAAGGAAAATCAGGAAGAGAATACCATGGTCTGGGAGGAGGGTTTAAAACCTGGGATGGCTTCCGAGCAGGAGCAGGGACACACAGTCTGTCACTTGTTGGTGTCCCTGCCTGTGCAGGGGCTGGTACAGGATGGGCTCCAAGGTCCCTCCCCTCCCAAACCACTCTGTAATTTTCACCTCCAGGCCTGTGGTTTGGATGTACCTGAGGTGCCCTGTCCTCACTGGGACCTTTTCCAGGGATTGTGTGTCCCTGTGAAGCTCCTGCAGCAGCCCAGGTGTGGCTGGGAGCCCTCACTGCCCTTCATGGAGCTCCTGTGGGGCTCAGGGGATGGGGAGGGACCCTCAGGCTCTGTGTCCCGGGGCTCTCCCCAAACTCAGCTGTGCCCTGCTCCTGTCGGCTTCCTGGCGCCTCAGGGAAACCTGTTTTACCGTGGGAGAGAATTCCCTGCTCCCACCAGCACCAAGAGCTGGTTTCTCTCCTGCTTGCCTGGGATCAGCTGCAGGTGAGCAGAAGGGGAGGCACCACCAGCTGGATCCAGTGACCCCAGCGTGGGCAGCGCCCACGGGAGGTGGAGACACCGGCCCGGAGGGTGGGAGCTGCAGCAGGGATGGGCAGCGTGGAGCTGCTCCTGCCCAGGGCTCAGGCCCCACGGGATGGCTGCAGAGAGGTACCGGGGCCAGGGAGGAGGGCTGGGGGCTGCCTCAGGACAGTGGAGTCACCAAGGGGCTGGAGGTGCCCAAGCTGTGGCACTGGGGGCTCTCGGCAGCTCCGAGGGGGTCTGCATTGGGCTGAGGTGGCTCCAGAATGGAGATTTTGGGTTGACTTCGGAGCCAAAGCCTTGGAATGAGGGTTGCTGTTCTGTGGGGTTGTGCTGAGTCGTTCCTCGCTCGAGGCTGGGCCTGGCATGAGCAGGATGGGAGTGGGAGGTGGCACAGCTGCTCCCCCCGGGTGGGGACACCCTCTCCTCTCCCTCTTCCCACGGGCAGCAGTGCTTTTCCTTGGATGTTGTCATGGGGTTTTGCGTTTCTGGGTCCTTCTCCTCTGCAGCGCCTGGGGACACTCCCTGGGAGGGTCTGCTCCCACCTTCCCTTCCCTTCCCTTCCCTTCCCTTCCCTTCCCTTCCCTTCCCTTCCCTTCCCACCTTCCCTGGCGCTGTGGGATGGGGCGGGAGGCGCCGCTGACAATGCACTGAAAATATTTATGGTGTTTCCTTGCCAACGTGCTGAGTGTCTGAGCCACCCTGCAGGGCTGAGCCCACGGCGGCTCCGCCTCGGTGACACGGCCTGGGGTGCCCTTCTGGGCCACCTGAGCCTGGCCCGGGGATGGTCCCGGGACTGGGCATGGGGGCCACAGCCGTGTCCCGGTGTCACTGTCCCGTGTCACTGTCCCGGTGTCACCGTCACCACAGGGCCCGGCCAGCGAGCACTGGTGACCCCCATGGTCCATGGGGGATTTGTGGGATCGCTCCCAGCTCCCTGGGCAGGGGCGGTGGGGCAGAGCGTGCCCCTAATCACGTTAATTGTTAATTGCGGCCCGCGTGCGCCGGCCGTGGCACCATTTGCTCGAGGAACACCTGAGCCGGGCCTGAGAAATCGCCCATTCCCAAATCCTGCCCCTGACAGGGACCCTGACATGGAACGGGCCCGACCCCGGCTCTGCCAGGGGATGTCCCCGCTCTGTTCGTGCCGGTTCAGGTGACAACGGGCGGTGACATGGATGGAGCAATAGTGCCCTGCTCCAGCCCCTGCCCTGTCCCACCCCGGGGCAGCCTCTGGAGCCCCCAGCCCCTCTGGGGTCAGTCCTGCCGTGCCCCTGCCCTGCTTTCGCTGCTGTCAGCGGGGGAAGGATGGACCTGGTGACAAAGTGACAAAGGAGTGTTTGCGATAAGGATCTCGCTGTGTCACTGCCGGGGTGGTGACACACCTTTGGGCAAGGCCGGCGCTGGAAAAAGCCCATCGGGGACCTGGTGGCCTTGAGGGGGTGGCACCGGTGGTGACATGGCCGAGGGGGCCTGGCTGGGCTGGCTGGGCCATGAGCGGTGCTTCTGTTCCTGTAGTGGGGTGTGGGGTACCCCAGGAGCCTGGGATGGTGTGGGGTACCCCAGGAGCCTGGGATGGTGTGGGGGTACCCCGGGGGCTGGGATGGTGTGGGGGTACCCCAGGAGCCTGGGATGGTGTGGGGGTACCCCAGGAGCCTGGGATGGTGTGGGGGTACCCCGGGGGCTGTGGGGTGTGGGGGTACCCCAGGAGCCTGGGATGGTGTGGGGTACCCCAGCAGCCTGGGATGGTGTGGGGTACCCCAGGAGCCTGGGATGGTGTGGGGGTACCCCGGGGGGCTGTGGGCTGTGGGGGTGCCCCAGGGGGCTCCGGTGACTGCCTGGGGACCCTGCACCTGGGGACTGCCAGGTCAGGGAGGCACAGGCGGGCAGTGAGGCGGTGCCAGTGAAGGGTGAGGTCACCCCTGCCGCGGTCAGTGCCGTGCCTGGGATGTGTCAGGAAACAGCCTGTTCTGGACAGCGGGATAAAGGTGCCCCAGAGGCCGGGAGGAAGGAACAGCCTGAGCAGGAGCTGATCTGGGAGCTGGGCAGAAGGGCAGGAGCTGTTCCTGGAGCGGCCTCTCGAGTGTCAGCAGCCCGAAGGTGCTCAAGAACAGCCAGACCGAGCCCCTGCCCACAGGGCACAAACAGGAACAGCCAGACCAGACTGAGCCCCCTGCCCACAGGGCACAAACAGGAACAGCCAGACCAGACTGAGCCCCCTGCCCACAGGGCACAAACAGGAACAGCCAGACCGAGCCCCCTGCCCACAGGGCACAAACAGGAACAGCCAGACCAGACCATGCCCCTGCCCACAGGGCACAAACAGGAACAGCCAGACTGTGCCCCCTGCCCACAGGGCACAAACAGGAACAGCCAGACCAAGCCCCTGCCCACAGGGCACAAACAGGAACAGCCAGACCAGACCGAGCCCCCTGCCCACAGGGCACAAACAGGAACAGCCAGACTGTGCCCCCTGCCCACAGGGCACAAACAGGAACAGCCAGACCGTGCCCCTGCCCACAGGGCACAAGTGCTGCTCCCGGGGCAGCCACCCTGGCCAGGGGCACACACGGTGCTCTGCCCTGCTTGGGGTTTGTTCTGGTGACTCTGGGGCTGTCCAGCCGCGGGATTTCACCAGAGAATGAGCCTGGAGTGGGAAATGTTCCTGTGCCCTCCTCCCGGGCTGCCGGGCAGAGCTCTGCAGGGCTCTTTGGGGAAGTGGCTCCAAGGAAGGCGCAGGCAGAGGAGGGGAAGGTTCCCGGGGAGGTTCCTGTGAGTGAAGGAGCCTTGGGAGGTGTCTGGACCAACGTCCTGCTCAAAGCAGGGTCAGCTCTGAGGTCACACCAGGTCCTTCAGGGCTGCATTGAACCAGCCCTGGGAAACTGCAGGGCTGGGCCTGCCCAGCTCCTGCACAGCCTCCAAGCACAGCAATGTCCCCGTGAGGGGTAAAACCCCCTTAAATGCAGGATTGTGGTGGCCCAGGATGACACACCCCAGCTCCTGGGCTGCAGCCTGGGTATGTGACCTCCAGACTTGGAGCAGGGGCTCTGGGAGAGGGGCTGGAGATGAGTGGGACCATAAATGGGTGCAGTGAGAGGTTTCTTGGGAGCAGGACTTCCATAGGATTTCTGTGGCTCTCCCATAGCTCACCAGAGTCTTGCCTGGAAAAAAAAATCCCTTTGCTTTCTGCTGGGAGAAGCAGAGTGAGACAAGGCCAGGGTGCCTTGGTGTCACAGCAGGATGGGCACAGCCTGGCCCTGGGTTTCCTTCTGCTGGAGGGGAATTTGGTCCCTCATGAGGGGCTGAGTCATGGGTGGCACAGAGCACAACACACCAGGGCCTCGTGATCCCAGCACCAAACCCCTGCCCAGCCTGGGGGCAGGGATCTTTTTATTTGGAGTTTTTGATGTGCAAATCTGAGGTTCTCACACAGGAGTGAGAACTGGGGGGTGGACACAGGGAACATCTCTGGCTGCCCCTGGGGTTCCTCCATCCCCACCGTGTCATCCCCATCCAACCATCGCAGCACATCCTCTGCATTAATATTTATTTTTCTCTTATGGCTACAAAGTCTGTTTTTATGAGAATAATTTCCCACAGACCCAACAACAAATGTCAGGTTGACCCAAGGGTTGTTGTTGCCTCAATTTTCTTCGGGCTCCCTCTCGTCCAACCAGCCGGGTACAAGTTGTCTCATGCGTAATTAGCCCGTGATAAATCATCTCCTGCCTTCTCCCCGTGCACGAGGAGCACATTCCCATGTGCTGATCCACGCTGGGGTTTGTTTGTCTGTGCACTCTGTGCACTCCCTGTACCTCTGCAGCTCAGCAGGGCCAGCCTCGCCCAGGCCTCTGCAGCTGCACGGGGCAGGATCCATCCAGAGCCTGGGCTGCAGCTGCTCTGGGATGGGCTCCTGGCAGGACACGGGCCCAGCCTGGGCGAGATCCTCCACAGAGCCTGGGGCTGCCCCTGCATCCCTGCCAGCACCCAGGGCCAGGCTGGAGGGGGCTTGGAGCAGCCTGGGACAGTGGAAGGGGTCCCCAATGGCAGGGGGGCACGGGATGGGATTTAAGGTCCTTTCCAGCCCAAACCATTCCGTGGTTCTGTGACCCATGGTAGAGGATGGATCTGCTGCCCAGCTCATGGCCCAGCCTGGAGCCTGGCCCCTCTCTTAGTCCATCCCCAGTGCTGGGGCAGTTCCTGGCTGTTCCCACC